TCATATCTCTCCTCTCCACCCCCCAGATATGGTCTCACTATGTAGCCCAGGCTGACTTGGGATGACCAATGCAAATAGAACAAAGTACTGTGAGTCCAGAAACTATGTGAAAAGATTGCAAATCTACCCTTCCAAATGAGTGAATAAAAAGATATATATGTATACATAAGATACTTATGAGTGAGATTATTCACTCATTTGGAGGGGGCTCTTTTTTGAGACAGGGCCTTCTCCCTGTAGCCTCATTTGGAACTTGCTATGTAGGCCAGGCTGGCCTTGATCTCATAGAGATCCTCCTGCCTCTACCTCTCCAGTATTGGGATTAAAGGTGTGCGCCACCATGCCCTGCTCCAAATATTATTTTTCAAAGAAACCTTAGAAATTAAAAATATTGAAACTGGAGAGATGGCTCAGTGGTTAAGAACACTGACTGTTCTTACAGAGGACCCTGGTTTGATTCCCAGCACCCACATGGAGGCTAACAACTGTCCATAACCCCAGTTCCAGGGGATCCAATGAATGTCCTCTTCTGACCTCCATGGGTACTCCACGACATTGGTGCACTTACACACATGCACGTAATATAGTCATACACATAAAATAAAAAATGATAAAATATTTTTAAAAAGAAATTTAAAATATAACAGAAATTTAAAGTTTGGTAGCAGTAATGGAATATACATTTTAGGTCACTGTTTGAAGAGGAAAACTGAGGAAAGAAACTCAGTTTCAGCCTAAAATCCATTATTTGTATAATAGGCATTCTAGAAGAAAACTGAAAAATAAGGAGAAAAAAAATCATCAAAAACAAAACTTGGGCAGTGAAGGTAGGAGCATCAGGAGTTTAAGGTTACCCTTGGCTACACAGGGAAAAAAGGTGGGGAAAAAAGCCAGCTAGGTGGCTCAGCAGATAAAAGCACTCACCACACAAACCTGAGGCTCTTAGTTCAATTCCCAGAACCCATAAAAAGCCTGATTCGTGGTGATGAGGTGGTGGCTCATCTCTGTAACCCCAGCACTCCTAAGGCAAGATGGGAGGTGGAGACAGGAGACCCTCCATCATGGGCAGGTCAGCCTAGAATGCACAGAGCAGTAGAAACAAGAGAGACCCTCCCTCAGCAGGTGGAAGGAAAAAACCGACTCCTCCTGAAAGTTGTCCTCTGACCTCCACATGAATACTGTGACACACACATGCCCTCCCCACACATTCACTAAGAACAACAAAAACTTTTTTTGAGACAGGATCTCACTATGTAGCCCTGGCTAGCCTGGAATTCAGAGATCTGCCTGAGCGCTGGGAGTAAAAGCATGTGCCACCAAGTCCAGCAATAACAAATTTTAAAAAGTTGAAAATATCGCAGAACTCAAGGTCATGAACTTCTGGATCCAAAGAGTCCATCATATACCAGCTGGAGGCACATCAGTAGTGACACTTTGGAACACTAAGGAGACAATAAAAGTTTCAGAGAGGAAACCAAAAGAGAAACAAGGAACCAGAATGGTAACAGGGATGGAAATGTCCCTTAAACTCTGAAAGATGACCATCATTTTACAATTCAGTCCTAGTCAATCTCACGTGGAAAGCTGGAATAAAGATGGTTTATGATCTATAAGCTCTTACAAAGTTTGCTTCCAAACAACCTTTCCTAAGAGCCTGGTGGAAAGGTTTTTCCACTAAAACCGTGCAGAAAAGTGAAAAGAGAAAGAAGCTCTAGTTGAAGTTGTATAGCAAGACTCTCCAGGCGTGGAGGAGTTGGCCCTACTAGGTCAGCTACTTAGCAGCTCCAGAGAGCAAACCCTAAAGGACCGAGACATGCGGAGGTTATTTTTGAAGGAAATACAATAAACTATTAACAGTAGTTAGTTTGAAAGTGAAAATGGAGAGGCAGAAAGTTTTTCCCTTTTTTTTTTTTTTTTTTTTTTTTTGTTAGCTGTCATGTGAGTGCTAGGAACCAAACCCAGGTCTTCTGTGAGAGCAGCTGGTGCTCTTAATCACTGATCCATCTCTCCAGCCCCTGCTTTTCAAAAATTTTTTGAAGAGAAAAATATACACCCTCCAGTGGCACACCCCCAGTAGAGATGGTTAACCCTTAGGTAATGACAACAGACATTTCCTTTTTTCACAACCCAAAAAGGAATTTTGCTGGGAAATGTTTAACTCCTATTACCAGCCTTCCCTGATAATCTTAAGCTTTTGTGCTTCTTTATAGGAAAGGCTCAGGGGGAATGTCTTGAGCAAAGAGGACCTGAACTCTCTCCTAGAAAATAAACTACCCACTGCCTTTCCGAGTTGGCTTACCTAATGCAGGGCAAACAAAGACTCATTCTGGATCTCTGGGTTGCCACAGTCTTCTTTTTGCAAGTCCTTCCTTCCATGGCTGTCCCTGCTCCAGGACCTTGATTACCAATAATTAATCTCACATGAAAGATTCAGTACTCCAGGCTTCCTCTGTCTCTGACCTAAGAGAACATGCTGTGAATTGTTTGTTTGCCTGCCAGAGATCTTATCTTGACCCATAGGAGCTGATAGGATCATTAAATCAGCATTGATCTTCCCTCAGTATCCTTCCTCTGCAGAAAGGGGGATGCAATATCTTAACCCCAGATAAAAGAGAGATTTAATCTATGACATAAGGGGTCATTCAATAATGGCTATATTTAATAATAATAAATTTTAAATAATTCTGCAGTGTGCCCTAATCCCCAAGCTTTCTTTGCTCTGTCTTAGTGTATTTGACTAAATCACTACAGAGCAACCAAGCCAAATGGCTAAACCGCCCACTTTCCTATTCCCAGCACATGAATTAGAGGGAGGCCAGATGAAGTCTGGGCCAGGCTTATGACTTGTGTGTCTGATTTTTGTTCCATGATCTGAAACTCAAAATAAATAAAAAAGGAAAATTTTTCCAAATTCTGGCTAATTCACACACACAGAGTCTCTAGCCTCTTTAGTCTCTGTATACATACAAAGCTGATAAACAATCCATTCTGAACAGATAAGATTTAGAGATTAATTCCTAAAGCAAAAGCAGATACTTGTGTGTAGTAAGCTTATGGAACTCCTGTGTTCAATTCTAGGATCTCAAGCCAAAAAAATGAAGCCTAAGGAATCTTTTTAGGAAAGACTTGGAAGAAAGGATCCTAAGAGGGAAAAAAAAAAAAAAATGGGTTTAGTGAGTGTTGGATTGAAGAGATGGCTTAGTGATTGAGAGCACTTGCTTGCTGTTCCAAAGTACCTGAGTTCGACTCCCAGCACTCATGCAGGCAGCTCACAACTGCACAACTCCAGGGGATCTGACGCCCTCTTCTGAAATCTGTGAGCATTCATGTACATGTGGCATACACTCACATAGACAGACATAGATACAAATAAAAATAAATCTTTTAAGAAAGAAATGATCCAGGTCCAGGGGATCTGACGCCCTCTTCTGGACTCTGTGAGCATTCACATACATGTGGCATATACTCATATAGACAGACATAGATACAAATAAAAACAAATCTTTTAAGAAAGAAATGATCCAGGCCAGCCATCTGGTGCTACAGGGAGACCCAATCTCAAAAAGACCAAGGAAGGAAAGGAAGGAAAGGAAGGAAGGAGGGAAGGAAGGAGGGAGGGAGGGAGGAAGGGAGGGAGGGAGGGAAGTTGCTTAGTTGGAGATATAGGTCGGTGGTAGAGCATACACGTGGCATGTGCAAGGCCCTGGGTTCCATCCCTAATACACACACACACACACACACACACACACACACAGTGAATGTGGTCAAAGAGAAACCTGTACATGGCAAACAAGGACAGAATACAAAAGTGGTGGACATTCAGAGGTTGTTGTTTGGTTTAGGTATTAAGAATAAACTTACTGACTGAAACTTTTTAAACTCAAAACTTGAACAAAGGAAAGCTATAAGGTTCAAGCTACAAAAATGTGAAGGTGTAGTAAGTTCCTTGTATTATACCTGGGCCAGGGTCTTCAGATAGAGATGTTTAGGCACAGATTTTTTTTTTTTTTTTTTTGGTCTTTTTGAGACAGAGTCTCCCTGTAGCCCCAGCTGTCCTGGAACTCACTATGTAGACCAGGCTGGCCTTGAACTCACAGAGATCCACCTGCCTCTGCCTCCTGAGTGCTGGGATTAAAGGCGTGCACCACCACGCCGGGCAGATTTTTTTTTTTTTTTCAATTAGCCATGAAATGAAATTATTCAGCAGGCATCCAGCTCCTCTCCTTGACCATAGCACCTTCAGGTCAGCTCCTCGATCAGAAGAGCAGCATGCATTATTTAGAAGCAGAACCTGACCCCAGGAGAACAATGAGAAGGGACAGGTCTGAAAGTTCTAGAAAAGAGAAATCGGGGTTGGAGAGATAACTCAGCGATAGAGAGCTTGCCTAGAATGCACAAAGCCCTGGGTTCAGTCACTAGTGCTATAAAAAGAAAAGAACAAAGAAAAGTCTTTCCCGGCCCTTGTTACCAGCTATGAAAAGTAGGAAGTACCTGGAGAACACATCTAAAGATGAACAAAGATACAGTGATTGTAAGAAGGAAGGTTGTTTATGGGTAGGAATTCATTTGGATCCAAAAATTGTCTTGTCTGTCTGTCTGCCTGTCTGTTTGAGACAGGGACTCACTGTGTAGCCCTGGCTGGCCAGGAACTCACAGATCTGCCTGCCTCTGCCTCCCTGGTGTTGGGATTAAAGGTATGTGCCACCATACCTGGCTTTTTTTTTTTAATTTGTGTAGGTGTGTGTGTGTGTGTGTGTGTGTGTGTGTAATACGTATGTGGGTGCACACATGCCACAGCACACACATGGACAACAACTTTGTGGACTACATTCCACCTTTATGAGAGTTCTGGGGGTTGAACTCAAGTTGTTAGGCTTTTGTGGCAAGTGATTTGCCTGTCGAACAGATGACCAGCCCCACCTTGTCTTTATAATGTGGCATCTTGTTTCTTATGTTGGTGTCTGTTTTAACTGCTCACCTTTCTCCCTCCTGTCCTGCAGCTGGGATGAAAGCAGCTCTATCAGCAGTGGGCTCAGTGATGCCTCAGACAACCTCAGCTCGGAAGAGTTCAATGCCAGTTCCTCGCTCAACTCCCTCCCAACTACTCCCACTGCTTCACGCAGGAACTCTACAATAGTGGTACGTGACTTTGCAAACATCTAGACCACCAAGTCAAGGTGAGACACAAGGCAAACAGGGCAAGATTAGTGTATGGCTTGTACATCCATAGCTACTCCATGCAGTTGACTCCTGTCTGCCTTTGGTCAAGTTCTTGTAGAGCTGGCTAACAAAAGAAAGAAGCTAAGGCTTCCAGTCACTCAAGATGGTAAATGTTGCCATTTTGTCTATGTTTTGTTCTCATACCTACCTGGAGTGATACCTACAGGAGCTATTCCAACTAGAGAAGAAAAAGAACCCCAGAGATAGATAAAGTATCCTTTCTGGACACCTAGGGATGGAGGGAACCTGGGTGACTTAGCATTACGGGATGAGCAAGCCCTCCCCCACCCCCAGTTCACCATTTCCCCATCCCTGTGTGAGTGGCTCACTCTGCCTTTTCCTCTTCTCATTAGCTACGCACAGACTCAGAGAAGCGCTCTCTGGCAGAAAGCGGGCTGAACTGGTTTAGTGAGTCAGAGGAGAAGGCCCCCAAAAAACTGGAATACGACAGTGGCAGCCTGAAGATGGAACCTGGGACTTCCAAATGGCGGAGAGAGCGGCCTGACAGCTGTGATGACTCATCCAAGGGTGGAGAACTGAAAAAGCCCATCAGCCTGGGACACCCAGGGTCCCTGAAGAAGGGCAAGACACCTCCAGTGGCTGTCACTTCCCCCATCACTCATACAGCCCAGAGTGCCCTCAAAGTGGCAGGTGAGCTGGAATAAAAGGAAGGGACAAGACTGAAGACCATTGATGGTTCTCCGTAGTGGTCACAAACCTATAGAATGGTAGCAAGCATTTGAGTAATGCTTTAACATGCAGTGTCTTTTCTGATCTTCAGCACAGTCCTGTGAGTTAGGAAAGATGGATGTTACTGTCTTTATTTTACAAGTGTGGAAACTAATTCAAAGAGGTTAAGGCGACTACTAAAATCACACAGCTGGTAAGGGGCACAGGAAGAAGAGAATATTGTACATTCTGAGACGAGTTTGACCTTCCTACACTTTCTTTCTTTCCTTTCTAAGATATACTTGTTAGCATTCAAGGCATCTTACTAAAATAATGTATCAAATGACTACAGCAAGAGTCCAGTGCTTCCAAGGTTGACTGGGGCCCTTTCAGCTTTAATCAACATTTCCCTCTAGTGTCTGGTTACCTGAAGACATTGCTTTATTCTCCTGTATCCTTTCCTTTTTTCTCCTCCCTTGACCAGTTAATCGACATACTTCCTTCCTGATCATTTTTGTTGCTTCTGCCATCTTAATCAAAATAAACCATCCTAACTGCAGGAGCAGAAAATAATAAAAACAAACAAAATGAAAGCCTACTCCCTCCCAGATCCCCTCTAGAAGAAAACTTCATCAGTTTATCCAGTTTGCCCATATTCAGGCCTCTAAATGTTTTCAATATATTGACAGTGGTTCCTTCTCCCATAGAGAAAAAGTATTTTAAGGTATTGTGTTAGCAACTCCTCCTCCATTTCTTGCCTTCTTGCAGGCAAGCCAGAAGGCAAAGCTACAGACAAGGGTAAGTTGGCAGTGAAGAACACTGGGCTACAGCGGTCCTCTTCTGATGCTGGTCGGGACCGACTCAGTGATGCTAAGAAGCCCCCCTCCGGCATTGCTCGCCCCTCCACCTCTGGATCCTTTGGCTACAAGAAGCCTCCCCCTACCACAGGCACAGCCACTGTCATGCAGACTGGTGGCTCAGCCACCCTCAGCAAGATCCAGAAGTCCTCAGGTATCCCTGTCAAGCCAGTAAATGGACGAAAGACAAGTTTAGATGTGTCCAACAGCGCAGAGCCTGGATTCCTGGCTCCTGGAGCCCGTTCCAACATCCAGTACCGCAGCCTGCCCAGGCCAGCCAAGTCCAGCTCCATGAGTGTGACCGGTGGGCGAGGTGGGCCTCGCCCTGTCAGCAGCAGCATTGACCCCAGTCTCCTTAGCACCAAGCAGGGAGGCCTTACACCCTCCAGACTGAAGGAACCTTCCAAGGTTGCCAGTGGCCGAACCACTCCAGCTCCTGTCAATCAGACAGATCGGGAAAAGGAAAAGGCCAAAGCTAAGGCCGTGGCCTTGGACTCAGACAACATCTCCTTGAAGAGCATTGGCTCTCCAGAAAGCACTCCCAAGAACCAAGCAAGCCACCCCCCAAACACCAAGTTAGCAGAACTGCCACCAACCCCTCTCAGGTACACCAAACTGGGAAAGTCCTTCTTTTCTGTTTCTCCCACCTTAGACTAGGTGTGGCATGACCTGTCTACTGTTGCCTCTGGGCCTCTGTATGGATCTTTCTCCTCCTTTTCCTTCTCCTCTTTGACAAGTTTCTTCTTCCTCATTCAAAACTATTCTGAACTCACTATTTCTACTATTCCATGCCAACCATTACCTGTCTTTAGCATTTGTGTGAGTGGTTTTGCTATGTTTATTTTCACATTTCCCCTGTGCATGTGTCTTCCTAGTAAGACTGAAGGTAAGTTGGGTATTGGATCGATTTTTCAACAGCATTAGGATAAGCCTCTAGACTTAATAAATGGCCATTTAAAAAAAGGAAACTAGAAGACCAATTATCTCTTGCTCTGTAAATTGTTATTCTAAGTATTTTATTTTATCTTCACTTCTCCCAGGGCCACAGCCAAAAGCTTTGTCAAGCCACCCTCACTAGCCAATCTAGACAAGGTCAACTCCAACAGTCTGGATCTACCATCATCCAGTGACACCCATGCTTCAAAGGTCCCAGATCTGCATGCTACAAGCTCAACAACTGGGGGCCCTCTCCCTTCTTGCTTCACCCCTAGTCCAGCACCTATCCTCAATATTAACTCAGCCAGCTTCTCCCAGGGCCTGGAGCTAATGAGTGGTTTCAGTGTCCCAAAGGAGACCCGCATGTACCCCAAACTCTCAGGCCTGCACAGGAGCATGGAGTCCCTCCAGATGCCGATGAGCCTGCCCAGTGCCTTCCCTAGCAGTTCTCCCATCCCCACCCCACCTGCTGCCCCTGCACCCTCAGAAGAGGAGACAGAAGAGCTGCCCTGGAGTGGAAGCCCCAGGGCTGGACAATTGGACAGGTATGTGATAAAGTCAGATTGAGTCTTCCTCCCACTCATTTGGCCACTAGCAATACCATCTCACATTTGATTACTACTTTATGACTTTCCATTTTTTTATATATGTAAGTAATTTCATTGCCATTGCTCCATAACAAGATAAGTGGGGAGGTTCTTTTGTTGTGCTTATCTAATACACGAGGAAAACTGTACACAATGTCTTCTCTAAGAGTTCGCTTGATCTCTCATCCAAAACTTTTGCTCCCAAGTCCAAAATCATTTCTACTATGTCTCATCCTGGTTCTCACATACTATAACATGATCTTGTAAATGGTTAACTATACCATAATTCCTAAGAGGAGAGAAACATTTAACATTTCGAATTTCTCCAGTTGTGAGTCAAGGACTTGATTGTTACAGAGACAAGGAGTCTCATAGTTTGATATCCTATCTCCAGACTCTGTACTCCTCAAACCCATGGTCCCAAACTCTAATTTCTTTTTATTTATTTATTTTTATTTTATTTTATTTTATTTTATGTGTGTGAGTGTTATGCCTGCATGTGTGTAAGTGCACCAGTGTCATGCAATGCCTGCATGACAGATTCCCTTCCAGATTCCCCAGGAACTAGAGTTACAAACAGTTGTTAGCCACCATGTGGGTGCTGGGAATCGAACCTGGGTCCTCTGTAAGAGCAGTCAGTGCTCTTAACTGCTGGGCCATCTCTAGCCCCCCAAACTCTTTAATTTCTAAAATCAACTCACATGTATCCTCCACCCTGCTCTCTCCACAGTAATCAGCGAGATCGAAACACCCTTCCCAAGAAAGGGCTCAGGTAACTCTTAAATGTGTTCTTTCTTCCATATACTTGGGGCTCCCAGCTTGTTTAAAAAGTCCCAACCTGCCATGTCCCCCATGCATTAATTTAGTGGCCCTTTTAGCCAAATCATTTGTATTCAATCTTACACAAATGCTACCCAAAGCCAGGTGTGGTGGTGCATGCTGTTAATCCTAACACTGAACATGGCAGAGGCAGGTGGATCTCTGTGAGTACAAGGCCAGCCTGGTCTACATAGCAAATTACAGACTAGCCAGGGCTACATAGTGAAACCCTATCTCAAAAAAAAAAAAAAAAGCCACCTGAAGCCCTATGCAAATTTACCATCATGTGAATTAACTTTTACAGCAACTGACCTTCTTTGGTGGTGGGGAAAAACAAGTTTGCACATGGGAATCATGTACTTACCTGTACCAGCCTATGTTATCACTGTCCTACTGAACTCCCTCTCTGTATTCAGCCTCACTTCTGAGTCCACTTAGATAGGCAAGGGACAGGGCATGCAGATCCTCTACTGTTAGGATGGCACTGAGTTATTCGGTCAGATGTGGATTCCTGTCACTTCAGAGCCTGCACATGGAGCCCTCAATCCCTGCCCTGAGCAGAGAGGAAGTTCTAAGACCTCCTCCAACCTTTCTGTTTCCCTCAGATGCTCCCATAGGACAATGCTGAGTCACCATCCATTGCTCCCTGACCGATCTGCCTTATCCTTGTCCCGGTTTCAGAATCTCCTTGTTCCAGTTTAGCTCAGACATCCCCGACTGCCAAGCTTCTGTCACTTTGTAGTGTCTCAGACTGAGTTCCTCTGCTGTTCCTACAGGTACCAACTTCAGTCCCAGGAGGAGACTAAGGAGAGGCGGCATTCCCACACTATCGGTGGTCTGCCAGAATCCAATGACCAGGCAGAGCTACCATCTCCCCCTGCACTCTCCATGTCCTTGAGCACAAAGGGCCAGCTTACCAACATAGGTCAGTGTTTGTGGTCACTCACTGTGGCATGGGATAAAGCATGGGTCATCCTGCAGGGTGAGGCAAGGCAGCTGAGCATGTTGGACTCACACTGTATTGGTTTGCTTTATGGTGCCTCGGTTTAGCAACCTAAACTGAAGATTGAAGGCAGAGTGTTCCAGTGTCCTAAACTGAAAATTTTCCCTGGGCACAAATCACAGGGTCCTGACAGTAACAGAGGGTCTGAATGATAGCATGAGAAAGCCGTAAACCAAGGCCCAGAGCTGCCAGAAAGGAGCCACCATGCACAGTATTGCCAGGGCCAGCTCTTGTGGGGCTGGTGGACAGCAGGCAGAGAAGGGTTGTTGACTGCAAAGAATGGGATGTGTCTCCAAACCCAGAAAAGTCCAGATTCCCCAGCTGCTGTGGCTGAGCCAGGGCCATCTTAGCCCTGAAGGTAGGGCTGACTAAGATGAGTCTTGGCCCTACAACACCCTCTCTAAAGCCTTGGGAGAAGGAAGATCTGGGAAAGAAGTGGTTCTGTAACTCAGAGATGAAATGGCAGAAGCGGCCTCAGGAGGAGAGCCTGGCTCCAGCACAGACACACCAATGGTTCTAGAAAGCATTGTGCCATGAATGACCCAATAAGAATCTCTTTAGGACAAGGCTGGAATAGGTCTGTTGTTTTCTTGCTGTATCTCTCTCTAAATCCATCTCTTCTTTCAGCTGAATTAAAGAAAGCAGTTCATGTGTAACAAGGACTTGTAACATGCCTATGCAATGACTGTGGGGAATTTGAGGAAAGACTAGGAATTAGGGTCATTTGTGCCTAAGGAAAGATCATCTAGCCTCTGTAGGTCTATCAAATGAAGTATGGGACCAGGTTGTTTTCCATCTCCATTGAAGACCAAACATGAAGAAAGGTGTTCATGCTTCAGAACAAGGGACTGGGCTAAACAGCAATCATCTTGTGGGTTCAAAGGGGCCAAGGTAGAGGTGTGAAATCTTCTGCACAGGTCTTTGCAGACAGGGTAGACATCCACGTGCCTGTGTGCAGGCAGAAGGTTAGACAGGGAGCTCTATGAGGATATGAACCCTGAAAGGCAGCAGTACAGGAAGGGGCAAAGGGTGACTGCCTCTTCAGTCAACAGATTCAGCATCTGTAGATTCCACAGCCCTGCCTGGCACTTTCACCGGCTCTGTCTGTCTGACCATCTGTTCATGGAAATGCGGGGCAGAGAGGCCATGATTTAGCTTTAGAGTGACCTAACATAACCTGAGGTGATGCTGCTTTGCAGGGAGACTCACTCCCATAATGCTGAGCCTATTGAATCCTACACCCTGGTTCCCTTCCCTGTAGCTGGTTCTGTTTCATTTGGATTGGAGTCTTGGTCTGGATTCTCAGTCCTCCTAAGGGAGCTTCCAGTTGTTTTTGAGAACCACAACATCCCATTTTCATCAGCGCATCGTAGTGATGTGAAGGTTTCAGGAAAGCTGCCAGGCCCCCAGCCTAACCTTCAAAAGCAACAACTCTAAGGCAGGCAGGACTAAGGGAAGATCCTGATTCCAGACAGTGGACTCCTTCTCCATTAGGGCCCCTCCTTCCCAGGAGGGGCTGCTCCTAACCTCCAGCTGCTTGCACACTCCCACTGCCCCACCTGCTCCTTCCTCTCCTCCCCTCTTCCCATTTGCCTCTCAATGGCTCCTGGTGCTCCATCCCCCACAAGGGATCAGAGAGCTGATGACCCTGCCTCTTCTCCTGCCTCCCCCTCCCTCCCCTGCCCCCCTTCCCTCTGTCCTTCCAGTGAGTCCCACTGCGGCCACCACGCCAAGAATCACCCGCTCCAACAGCATCCCCACCCACGAGACGGCCTTCGAGCTGTACAGCGGCTCCCAAATGGGGAGCACCCTGTCCCTGGCCGAGAGACCCAAGGGAATGATTCGGTCAGGATCCTTCCGAGACCCCACGGATGATGGTGAGACTTCATGCTAGCGCGGTTCACACTCATTCCAGCTCTGCTGGGTCCCCTCACCCACCACCACCTCCACTGCCACCACTGCCACCACCACACACACATATATAATTCACAGGACATCAACTTGGGCCATTTCAGTTCTGTCTTCCCATACCTTTGAAGGGTCTGGGGGCCCAGAAACCTTGGGTGGCATCACCTAGCACCAGGGCTTTGGGATGGAGCATCTATTATGGGGCCCAGGGAAGGGAAACTGAGATTCGGAAGGGTTAAATCATACCTCTCAGGGTGCTATGAGAACCAGAGCTTCTGTCCTCCTAATTCTATCAGCGGTCTTTTCTCCCCACAGTCTCTCAGATAAGATATAGGGACATAATGGTAGCTCTTAAATTCATAGAAAGAATTAGGCATCTCAGTCCTCTTTTTAGAATGTTCCAAAGGCTAGCTTCCAGGAGGGCCATCTGATTGTTGATGGTGATCTGGGTGTTAAGTGGGGTTCATTAGACCTCCATTATTATTAGCAGGATGAATTCCTGACAGATGTGTGTTAGTTCTTGCAGTAGGTTCTGTTGAGTAATCAAAAGGAGTATATCCCACTTAAATATTTTTTTCATCTGAATGGTCCCCAGGCTCCCAGACTAGCACTCCAGTGCTGAGAAGAGGAGGCACAGACAGAATTATTGTATTGGTTCCAAGCTCTGACAAGAAATTCCCCCCTTTCTGCAGCTTAAAGTACTTTCTTGACTGGGCAGACCAGATGCTGACTACCCACGAAAATCTCCTTTCCCTCTCTCTGGACCCCTGTGCTCCTCGGGCAGGCTGAGCAAGAGACCATCAGGCCCAGGCTGTCAGAGAATGTAGATGAGAGAGGAGGCTGTCTTTATCCAGGACCATCTCCTTGGATACGCACCTGCTGTGGGCTGTTGGGATATGAACTGGGTGCCCTGTGCTGTTCTTTCTGTTTGCTCCAGATGCCCTCCAGAGTCAGAACCCAAACTCCTGCCTTAGGGCTCCTCCCAGGAACCCCTTGGCCCTGGAGCCTCCTGCTAACCCTTTGTTCTCTCCTTCTCTTTCAGTTCATGGCTCGGTGCTGTCCCTGGCCTCCAGTGCCTCTTCCACTTACTCCTCAGTAAGAGCATTAATGTCCCTTCCGCCCCCCCGCCCCCCCCCCGTACCACATTCCCTCAAACCTCCTTTGGTTGGGTAACTGTGTGGGGGTAGGAAACCACTGTCTGAATTACACCTGATGGGCCTGGGAGTAAGGGTGGGGGAGGCAACTAGAGCTGGAAGCCCTCAGAGTGTCTCTGGCCCTCTGTGATCTTTCTGGCCTCACCCCAACTTCCAAATGACTCTAGTATTATTTGCTCTTTTCTGTTGGAAAATGAGAATCTCTTTGTGACAGCACCCTTTCCCTGCCGTGGTGAGTGGGAAATGTTCACAGCAGCATGAGATGGTTAGGTTTCAAGACCGTAGAGCCCCAGTGGTGTGTAGAATTAGCCAAATGTTTATTGTGGGATACCACACATATCATTTGGCTTTTAGATATCTTTTGACTCTTGCATTTGTTTTGACCCTAGTTCTTTATACCCTCAAGTTGCTAGCAATAAGGGCTTGTTTTCAGGCCAACCAGTCTTAGTCTCTAGCCTTCCTGGCAGTAGCAAAGTTGGCTAGAGATAAACACCACAGAAACCTATTATTTAAACCTGAGTGTAGATCTGAGCCAAGTCCTGTGAAGAGCCAGGGCCAAGAGACAGGAAATTCGCCTCTCTGCAGCTCCCTGATCACACTTTTTCGTCTCTGCCCTGCCACTTGGTCCTGGCTTCTGTACCTCTGTAGTAACCACCTGCCTTTTCTCTCTTTCTCTCCTTCTGTGCCCACTTCTTCAGGCTGAGGAGAGGATGCAGTCTGAGGTAGGGTACAAAGCCTTAGTCTCTGCTTGCTAACACTACTGCACACTCCATTTTCCATTCACATCCCTCCACTTCTGCCACCAGTAGTTTGCCTTTCTCTTCCTTTCACAGCAAATTCGGAAGCTTCGTAGGGAACTGGAATCATCCCAGGAAAAAGTGGCCACCTTGACATCTCAGCTCTCTGCCAATGTGAGTACCTGAAGTAGGGGAAGACCTGGGCCGTAGTTAAATCCAGGCAGTGAGGAAGTCTGCTTAGTAAGAGCATTAATGTCCCTTCCCCCTTGCCCCCTCCCCTCCCATACCACATTCCCTGAAACCTCCTTTAACCTCTTAAGCAGGACTTAAACCTCTAGGAAGCAGGTCTTCCTCAGAATTCTACAACAGAAGATTTGAGGACTGACCTTCAATTTTTTTAAAATATTTTCTTTATTATTTTTATTTTATGTGTATGAGTGTATTGCCTGCATGTATTGAGTGCACCCATGTCGTGCAGTGCCGCGGAGGTCAGAAGAGGGCTTCGGATTCCCCTGGAACCGGAGTTAAGGACGGTTTGTAGCTGCCATGTGGGTGCTGGGAATTGAACCCGGGTCCTCTGCAAGAGCAGTGAGTGCTCTTAACCACTGAGCCATCTCTCCAGCCCCTGACCTTCACTATTTTTGAGCCTCCCTAAAGGACAATCTGTCCCCACCTTAATTAATTGGTATGGATGGTTTGGTGCCTGGTAATCCTTGAACTTCCGAGAGAAAGTAAAGAACATGACCAGTAGTTCTATAGGAAGGTGAAAACAACCTTGCCATTGGCCATGGACAAAAATAGCAATGAATTATAATTACTAAGCCCTTGGAACACTGTTCTATTGCCCTGGGGTATGTTTATCTCTTCCTTTATGCCACGTAAAGTGAGCAGGCACAAAATTAGTTATTAGAATTCTGTCTAGTGACTATGGTACCAGTTAGAAACCCAGCTCTTGTTCTAGCTAGCTACATGGCTCACAGCTTCCTCTGCCCAGTGGAGTCTCCTTGAGCACCTGACAATCAGTCTGAGCTTCAGCTTTGGACCCAACATTCTTTCTGTGCTTAACCTTCCCTCAGTGTATCCATTTAGAATGAGTTACTACCTTTCTTTAAAGCTGTTTTTCCATTTTGTGAGATGGGGAGAAAAAAGCTACCTTATCTAACTCAGCTGTGGGTAGTTTCTCCCCGGTGACCAAGTTATAAACAGAGAACATAGGAGCCATTCTCCCACAAAGCTGTAAACAACAGCTGAGACAGATCTACAGGAGCTTTCCAAGTGTTTGCACAAAAGTAGCCATGTCTGCATTTTCCACAGTAGTTTCTCGTTCTCTCTTTTCCCTTCCTCTCTGGGGAACTCAGCTGTCAGGCCTGATGAGGTCTGTTCCTTGGAATCAGGTAGAATGTCCACCGTGTTTCCAATATATTTCAGCAACAGCTCCCTTAACACATTGGTTGTCTTTACTTTCCTTGCCCAACCCTTCAGTTCGTAAGTCCTGTACCTACTGGTTTGTTTGAAGTTCATATCGAGCTTCAAATTCTCAGGGACCCAAAAGAATCCTAACAGAAATAAGAACCATCCAATGCCACACCCATCAAGGCTAGTGCCTGGGTCACGTCCTGCATACCCCAGGAAATTCATGAGAGATGCTGGAGAAGAGAGGCGCCAGGGAGGCAGAGGACATTATTATGTCTGATTCATTTACACTGCAATCTGTCAGCCATCGTGCTGTCAAGGCTGGGCTAGGGCCAAGAAAATGAATTTAGAGGGTGATTTTTCTTAGAACAGGAAGTTCCATTTGGCTAAGAGAAAACAAACTAAACACCCAGACCCGGTAAATTCTGAATCTAGAGTCAGATTTTTGCCAAGAGTCAGAGCCCTGCCCTCAAGCAGGAGATGTGATGCCAGGACTCTGAGATGGTCCCACAGCTCTCTTCAGGACTCCTGATGCTGAGCCAAACTTCTGCCATGTTGAATGGAACATCCAAGCTGCTGAAGGCAACATACCCTAGCTAGGAAGAGGCCCAGGTCATGGTACCCCTTTCAATGCTAGGCTGTCTGCAGAAATACCACTTGGCCCCAGGTCCTGCAGGTACCCTAATCTAAGGATGCAATTCAAGTAAAGTTCAGAGTAGGGAAGAGAAGTAAGAGAGAGTAGAAGGAAAAGCCCAGTCCCCAAATGAGGAGATATACACATAGAAATGTACGAGGAGGTTGGGGTTCTCCTAACTCTTGAGTAGATTTTCAGGGACCACAAGCTGTCTACCTACAGATGTATGATGGGATATAAAAGTAAGCAAGAAGACTTGAGATTAAGAAGACAGAAGGTTAGGGCTGGAGAGATGGCTCAGCGGTTAAGAGCACTGACTGCTCTTGTAGAGGACCTGGGTTCGATTCCCAGCACCCACATGGTGGCTACGAACCATCCTTAACTCCAGTTCCAGAGGAATTAGAAGCTCTCTTCTGACCTCCCCAGCATTGCACAACATGGGCACACTCACATACATGCAGGCAATACACTCATACGCATAAAATAAAAATAATATTTTAAAGAAAGAAAAGAAAAGAAGACAGAAGGTGAGAGTTGGGCCTAGGACAGCAAGCCTTTACCCCAGGTACTTGAGAGGCAGGAGGGTCATAAGTTCAAGGCCTGCTTGGAATAGAGAGTTCAAGGCCAGGCTGAGTTACTTAGTGAGACCTTTTCTCAAATTTTAAAGAGGACAAAAGGTGAAAGAAAGATGTTCAGGTAATGTCATATTTCTTCTGAGGAGCCCAGGCCTCAATAGATCGACAGTCAAAGTGGAAGGGGAGGTTCAGATGGCACCAAGATAATTACCTTCAGCCATGGTCCAGCTACAGTAGGCACAAAGGGCACTGTTGAAAAATTGAATTGACAAACAGGGAGAGAAAATTATAAAGCAATAAGAAGTAGTGAGAATGTCACAGACGTCACAGATGTCACAGAGGCTCTGGACCCGCCCAGAGCCTTTCACTGCCTGTTAGGTTCATGGTTTGCTCAGATGCCCTCACTGAGGACTGTTTCTCCATCCTCCAGTGTTCCTTTTTTCTGATCCCATACCTTATTCCCTTTACATTTCCTATACATCTTTCTGCCAATTGGCCAGCTAAAAATCAAACCAGGCTCCACACAGGCTTAGTGCCACTGGGCATCTATCCCCAGCCTGTTCCTCCAGAGAGCACTACAGGATCCAGTGCCCTTCACCAGGTGGACCTGACACCTAGTGGCCAAACTGTGGTATGTCCCTGAAGTGATTTGAGCTACTTCCCTCATACTCCAGAGAAGACCTTCCAAGAACAAGGAATAGCTCCAAGGGAGAGCAAAGAGGAAGCCCAGTCACCAAGAAGGTGAAATCTTTGAAACAAAGAGAAGGAAATACAAAGTTACAGAGCAGCAGGAGGAGCAAGGTTAATCAGAAAGCTGTGGACTCACAACTTTTGCCAAAGATCAAGATCAAAGCTATTCCTCATCTCGAGGGCAACCTTTTTGCTCTATCAAATAGAATGTATCCTCACAAATTAGTGTTCTAAATTTCTTTCCAAGAACCTAATTAGATAACTGGTATTAGAGAGAGAGAGAGAGAGAGAGAGAGAGAGAATACAGAGCTATCCAAGGAGAAGAAGCAGAAGAGAGGAATCAAAGAGAACCTACAGGAAGGTTGTTTGGTCCCACGGAGGTCATCCCTACACAATAGAGTTAAACCAAAAGCAGTAAGACTGATTCCAGAGACTGTTACCCTCCCTCTCATCGAGTCTGCCACCCACCTGCCACATAGAACAGAGGGATTGTCCCACATCTGGTAGGTGATAGGAAACAGATCACAAGCTTCTAAGAAGTTCTGCCCTACCCCAGCTGTCTTTGTTATTCAAGAGGCTGGTTCTCTCCAGAAAACCTATTTGATTCCACCTCGTGTGCCCAGGGAATTCAATACTTTAAAACCACCAAAAGTTTTTTTTGCACAGAAAATCCGTTTAAACTACTCTCATATCAGTCATTTCCTTTTTCTGCAGACGCGTGTACCTTACAGTTGTCTTTATGTGTTTGTGGCAGGCTAACCTAGTGGCTGCTTTCGAGCAGAGCCTGGTGAATATGACATCTCGCCTGCGACACCTGGCAGAGACAGCTGAGGAGAAGGTGAGAGGCCTAAGATGGTGAGTTCTAGACACACAGGCCAGGGTGTGTCTTCTGCTCCATCAGCTAGGCCATTTTCTCCCCTGTCACTCTGATTCTTAACCTGCCAGTTAATACAGTGTTACCATGTTCGTCACCCCAGTTCCCTGGCCTTTTCTATCAAGACTAGTAGAATTCCAGGCCTAGTTCACTGTAAGTTTTCCTGCTATGTGCAAGTAATGGCACTACTGTCACTTTTCTCTTAGGACACTGAGCTACTGGATTTGCGAGAAACTATTGACTTTTTGAAGAAAAAGAACTCTGAGGCCCAGGCAGTCATTCAGGGAGCTTTGAATGCCTCAGAAGCCACACCCAAAGGTAAGACTGGAGGGAATTGAAACAGGAATGGGTAAAAGGAAGAGTATTATAGGTTTTTATCTGGGCCCACAACATGCCAACTTTCATACCCAGTTTCTAGACAGTGAGGCCCCTAGGTACTCCACAATGTGATGCCTGAACTGTCTAGTGAGGAGTGCTGGGGTGTGACCCCATAACCGTTGGGGATGAGGACAAGTAGAGGAAACCTGTTATCCCCATGGGCCCTCTCCTCAGCCTTTAGGCCAAAGAGCTGTAAAGGCAGTGTCTACAGGATCTCATTGTATAGCTCTGATTAATGTAGAACTTGAAGCAGTTCTCTGCATCTGCCTCCCAAGTGCTGAGATTACAGGTTTGTGCTACCGGGTCCGGTTAGAAATCGGTCTTTTTTGTTTTTTCATTTCATTTATTTTTTTAACTTTTGTACAAGTGCATATTATATATATGCACTGTGCACATATATTATATATGTGTTGAACATGTTTCCCTATGCCCCTCCCCTCCCTTTTCTCACCCTTCGCCTCTCCTGTTAATCGCCTTTGTCCCCTAAACAGTTTACTTCTACCTTCATGTCATGCATACATAAGTGATTTTATTTATCTATATGAAATCTAGGAACCACAAAGGAAAAAAGATGATATTTTCTTTCTGAGATTGACAAAAAAATTAAATAAAGGCAGTTTCAAAATAGAGCTTCACATTTCACACAAATGTTTTGTTGGTCTACACACATGAATGTGATTTTACTTGCTCACGTTTTCAAGGAGGATGCAATATATATCCAGTGGGGCTCTGTGGCAAGTCAGCCTTGGCATTCAGCAGTTAGTTATGCTTTGCTACAGACTGCGAAGTTGGGTGGTAGTCTGATGCCTATGAACTGGGGTGCAGCTCAGTAGTAAGCTCTTGACCTAATGCACAAGGCCCTGGTTTCCATCCCCAGCACTGAAAAAAAAGCCTTCCATTGTACAGTCTTCCATACACCAGTCTCTTGGGACAGCTTGGCAATCCTCTTACTTGTTCATGGTCATTTTTCTACCATTTTTCTTGTTTCCACATTCCACTGACCTTTGTCACCATAGCCCCCAATACCCAGGTTGAGAAAACGAACAGCTTCAAGTGAGACTTCAGTGACTGTTCCCCATTCTACCAATTTATTTTCACCTGATCTATGCTTATTTTTCTCCCATTTTGTTGGAAGGAGCTAGCCAAGAGTAACCTCTTAGCTAAAATGTTCTCGCAGCAATTATTCTCTGAGGGTGGGCACACACATACACATGCACACACACACACACACACACACAAAAAAAAAAAAAAAAAAAAAAAAAAAAAAACACTTTCTTTTTGACCTCCTAACTTCGATGGGTACATTGCTCCTATTTTTTTCCAGTACTGGGGATTGACCGTAGGGGATATATGGTATGCTAACCAAGCACTCTACCTCTGAGCTACATTCCTAGCCCAAGATCTCTTAATCTCTGTTCATTCCTTCTCTGGGTATAAACTTACTAAAAAGTCTCCTAACTTAAAAAGGAAAGCTATGAATCTGTTATGTCCTTTCTAATACAATCCTAATTCTAACTCCACCACAATCAACCTTATCTTTCTACTTCTTTTCACACCTAGCTCCACTAAGATGCTTATCACCATCACCCTACCTAAACCATTCACTAAACTCAACTTGGAAGTTTTACTATTTATTTTACTTAACTTCTATGTCAGGGTGCAGTGGCACTTGCTTGTAATCCTAGCACTGAGGGAGGCAGAGTGAAGATAGGCAGCCCCCTGGGATTGCTGGCCAGCTAGCCTGGTCTAACTGTTGAGCCACAGGTACCAGTGCCATACTCCATATCAAAAAACAAGGTATAGCCTGGTGTGGTGGTGCATGTCTTTAATCCCAGCATTTGGGAGGCAGAGGCAGGCAGATCTCTGTGAGATCGAGGCCAGCTTACATAGCAAGTTCCAGTCCAGCTGGGGCTACAGGGAGACCCTGTCTCAAAAAAGACAAACAAAACAAGATACACAGTTCCTGGAGAATGATACCCCCCAAGGTTTACTTCTGGTCTCTACATACAAGTACAAGCAAGCATGCAGCCACATACAAATAAACATGTATACACACACACATATCCACACAAACTATTGCTTAATCTGGTATCATGAAAATCTATTCCCATGTTTCTCAAATATTTTATAGTTTTAAGGTCTTGCATTAAGTCTTTTCCATTTTTAGTAAATTCTTATTTTGTTTTTGTTTCCTGTTTTTGTTTTGTTTTCTTTTGTTTTGAAACAGTCATATAGTTCAGGCTGGCCTCACATTCATTATATAGCCAAGGATGACCTTGAATTCCTGACCCTCCTGCCTCTACTTCTCAAGTGCTGGGATTACAGGCAAGTGTTCCATGCCCAGTTTCATTTTGAGTGGGTTTTTTAATATATGAGCTTGGAGCCCAACTTCATTCTTCAATTGTGAATATCCAATTATTCCAACACCATTTATTGAAAAGACTATTTTCCCTCCTGAATTATCTTGATAAGTTATCTTTGTCAGTTAACAAAGGAAGTATAAGTTTATTTCTAGACTCAGTTCTGTTTCAGTGATCTATTTGTCTATCCTTAGCCAGAACCACACTTCAATTCCTATTGTTTTGTGTTGTAAGTTTGGACATTGGAAAGGGTGATTCCTCCAACTTTGTTCCACTTCAAGATTGTTTGTACTTCCATGTGATTTTTAGGATTAGTTTGTCAATCTCTGAAAAGAAGACAGCTGAGATTCTAATAGGGATTGTGTTTAGTTTTTATCAACTTAGAGATCATTGTCACTAACCAATATCAAATGTTGCATAAACATAACAATCCTTTCCTTGTATTTAGATATTCTTTTGATGTTTTTGTTTTTGTTTTCTGGTGATATTTTGCAGTTTTCAGTATAAAAGTCTTGGTTAGGGCAGGTGGCAGGGGTTGGTTAAACTTAGTTTTTTCAGTCTTTTTGAGGCAGGGTCTCCCTGTAGCCCCAGCTGACCTGGAATTCACTATATAGACCAGGCTGGCCTTGAACTCACAGAGATCTGCCTGCCTCTGCCTCCCGAATGCTGGGATTAAGGCATGTACCACCACACCTGACTAACTTAGTTTTTGATACTACTTAAATAGAATCGTTTTATTTCCCTCTGTGGTTATTTATTACTAATGTATAGAAATAGAATTGATCATTTTTGATTTTTCACATTTTCAAAGTTAATTTTAAGTTAGCATACAAAGTAATGGATTCCATCTTGGCATCTTCCAGCACACGAATCATTGTGCTTTGTTCTCACTGATTGAGCCTCCAGCTTGCTTCCCTCCTTCCCCCACGTAGTCCCACCTTCTGTGTTCTTATTACATCTTTTCTGTATCCTCTTTGCTTCCTTCCTCACTTAAGATCTCTTCCTCCCATCTCCTTATTCCCTTTCTAGCTTTATTTGTTTTATTCTTGGATGATTTCATATATGTATTTAATTGATATTGGTCATTTTCACCCCCATTGCCCTTTATCATCTTCTTCCACTGAAGCCCTTCTTCCCAGCAAGTCTCCTTCTTGTTTTGATGTTGTGTGTTTGTGAGTGTGTGTCTGTGTGTGTGTGTGTGTGTGTGTGCGTGTGTGTCTGTCCCACTGGGTTTAATTTTGGTCCCTTTTGAGTTTTGTGACTTATACACACAGACATAAATATATACTCATGTGTATATGCACACATATAAATATATAATTTTTAAAATATTTTATTTATTATTTTTATGTGTATGAGTATATTGCCTGCATGTATGTGAGTGCACCCATGTCATGCAATCCTGCGGCGATCAGAAGAGAGCTTCGGATTCCCCTGGAACTGGAGTTAAGGACGGTTCATAGCCGCCATGTGGGTGCTGGGAATTGAACCCGGGTCCTCTGTAAGAGCAGTCAGTGCTCTTAACTGCTGAGCCATCTCTCCAGCTCCCAAATATACAATTTTAAATCTAGGTTCCACATATGAGAGTAAACATGTAGTATTTGTCTTTCTAAATCTGGCTTATTTTGCTTAACATGATTTCCATTTGCATCCATTTTTCTGTAAGTCATGATTTCAGTTTTCTTTATGGCTACATAAAATTTCATTGTATGTATGTACCACATTTTTTTTAACCCATTCATCTGTTGATGAACATCTAGACTGGTTCCATTTCCTGGCTACTGTGAATAATACAGCAACAAACGTGAATTTGCAAGTATCTCTGTGTTTTTTGTTTTGGGGGGGCGGTTTGTATGTGTATGAGTATTTTGCCTGTATGTATATAAGTGCACCCATTCGTGCAATGCTCACAGAGGCCAGAAGAAGGTGTCAGGACCCCCCCAAAAAAACTGTAGTTATGTATGGATGGTTGTGAGTTGCCATGTTGGTCCTGGGAACCAAACCGAGCAGCCCTTGGTCTTAACTACTGAGCCATCACTCCAGCCCGTTTTTGGGTTTAGAGACAAGGTCTTGCTATGTAGCCCTGTAGACCAGACTAGCCTCAACTGTGCCACCTTCCTGCTTCTAACTCTCCCAAGTATCAGGATTATAGGTATACGCCACCATTCCTAGCTTTACAATTGGTGTGTGTGTGTGTGTGTGTGTGTGTGTGTGTGTGTGTGTGTTGATCTTATATCTTACAAACTTGTTGAGTTCAACTATTAGCTCTTTTTTTTCAGTCTTTCTGAGACAGGAGACCCCTGTAGCCCCAGCTGGCCTGGAACTCACCATGTAGACCAGGCAGGCCTCAAACTCACAGAGATCCTCCTGCCTCTGCCTCCAGAGTGCTGGGTCTAAAGGTATGTACCACTACGCCCAGCAGCTCTTTTTATTTTTTTATAACCACTGCTCCATCTATTTCTATGTAGATCAGTCTCCTGAGCTCCAGACCTCTGTTCCTAATCATATTTTAAACATTTCTGCTTAGCTGACTTCATAGGTCATAGATATAGCTTAGCATTCCTAAAATTGAAAGTCCTCTTCTCTCCCCATGTATAAATACAAAGCCAACCCTTTTCTATCTGCAGTTTTGCCCATCTTGAGCATTACCACAGCCTAGCCTCCCTGGCTGTTAATGACAGTCGTGTTTGCTTACCCTCTGTTTTGCTTTTGCAGTAACTTCACTCTGAGTCCTGCAGCTCATCTGTATTGTTACTATCCTGGCTCAGATTTCCACTGTTCTTCTCCTGGATTACTCCAATAATTTCCTAACTGGCTTTGCTTGTACCAGCACTTACTTTACACTGCCTCCAAAGTAATTCAGTTGTCTATTAAGATCAGAAAGCATTTCAACTTGAATATGATCTGAATTGTTGTCCTTTTTGTGGTATGATAATGATATTGTGAACAAATATCCTTTTCATATAAGAAACATCCTCAGGTATTTAGTTGTAAAATGTCATCTTCAACTTCTTTTCAAATTGTTTGAGAAGGTGGGAGAGGGAGCAAATATAATGAATTATTAACAATAGTTGGATTAGTCAGAGGGCATAGGGTGCCTATTGTACTGTGCTTTAAGTTTTCCCGTGTGTTTGAAACATTTCATGAGAGGAGGTGGAAGGAAGAAGGACTCTACCCCAAGCCCTCTGTGTTGTACAGCAGGCTCTTCCTAATCCAGTGCATACCTTTCTTTATGCCTCACTCTCCACCTTACATGCCAGACTCCACCTTGGAAAACAAGCTCTATGCAGTATGCTTTTCTAAGCATTTTTCCTATATTCACTTGCTCCAGATAACATTGTAATCCAGCATATTTTATAGATGAGGAGAATAAGAGAAAATCATTTGCTCAATTATTGTGTGAGCCATCTAGGATATTCAGCTATTTCCACATTCCCACGTGTGCTTTGCTCTTCATATGTATTTTTTGAGTGAATAAATCATGAAATTTTGCTATTGAGTATTCACATTAACCTTAGTTCATGTTGACCAAGGAACAACTTCATAAGAATTTCTAGAAGCTTCCCAAGAGCTAATGCTTAAACAATAGTGCCAGGTTTATTTTATTGTCAATAGACAATAAATTTACATGACACAAAATTGAAAATGTACAAGATTTTTCTTTTACCTATTGGAAGATTTATAATGCTATAAACATATCTTTGCGCTCTTGTTTTTCTGTCTTGGGAACTGAATCCAGAACTTTGTGCATTCGAGGCAAACACTCTACCACTAAGCTATATCTCTAGCTCTCTTTTGCTCTTAAAGTATTTTAAATTTTATTTATGTATTTTTTTATTTTTCTTAATGTATATAAGTGTTTTGCCTGCATATGTGCACCTATGTCATGCAATGCCCCTGGAGGCCAGAAGAGGGTGTTGGGTCTCCTGAAACTGTAGTGACAGATGGTTGTCAGATGCCATGCTAGAAAACCAAATGCAGGTCCTCTACAAGAGCAGCCAGTGTTCTTAACTACTGAGTCATCTCTCCAGCCCCTTAAAGTGTTTTAGACAGAATTTCTCATTAAATTGATGGACTCAGAACTAATTGAAGACTCCAAATGCTAGCCAAATATTCACATTTCTTTTTGCCATTTTTTTTTTTTTTTTTTTTTTTTTTTTTTTTTTTTTTTTTTTTTGTCTTTTTGAGACAGTATCACCCTACAGTCCCAGCTGGCCTAGAAACATGTGAGAGGGTGTAAGCCCAGGGCCTTGTACATGCTAGGCAAGCACTGTACCACACAGCTATATCCCCTGCCCTTGGTATTTTGAGTCATGATTTATGTAGCCCAGGATGGCCTGGAACTCAAGAGCCTCTTGCCTGACCTTACAGGCCTTTTAAAAGAACCACTGGGAATGTAGCTTAGTGAGAAGACACTTGCCTAGTGTTTCAATGCACTGGGTTTGATGACTAGAATATGGGGGAGGGGGTTTGCAGAGAAGGAGGAGGAGAGATCCATTTCTGTTCATAGAGTTAGGAAATAGTCAAAAATGATCCACATTTTTCTGTTACTTAATAGTTCTTGTTTCTAGAAGAATTGAACCGTTCCCTACATCTAATCTAATGAAGTCTCCTGCTTTATCTTTCTTACTGTTAACATAACAGGTGTCTTGATTTCTTTTACTGCTGCTATGATAAAATACTCTGACAAAAACAACTTAAGGAAGAAAGGGTTTATTTTAACTCAACAGTTCTAGGGAAGAGTCCATCATAGCAAGGAAGTCAAGGCAACAGAAGCTTGAAAGAGTGGTCATATCACACCCACAGTCAGGGACAGACAGCAGTGAATGCATGCTAGTGCACAACTCACTTTCTCTACCTTTATACAGTTCCAGATCCCCTGCCTGGGGAATGGTGCCACCCACAATGGGAGGGTCTTTATATCTCAATTAACATAATCAAAATAACTCCTCACAACATGTCCTCAGGCCAACCTAATCTAGACAATCCCTCATTGAGACTCCCTTCTAGGTGATTCTAGACTGTATCAAGTTGACAGCACTATCATGGTAGGCTCTAGTTTTATAAAAAAGGTCTGGCATGGATTGGAATTCAAGATATTAACATTGGATGAGACCAGGTAAAAGGTGCATAGACCTCCTTATACATTTCTTTGTAACTTTCTATGAATCTATAATCACTCTGAAATAAAAAGGGCTTTAAAAATCAAATAGTAGCCAGGCATGGTGGCGCATGCCTTTAATCCCAGCACTCGGGAGGCAGAGGCAGGCGGATCTCTGTGAGTTCAAGGCCAATCTGGTCTACATAGTGAGTTCCAGGACAGCTGGGGCTACAGGGAGACCCTGTCTCAAAAAACCA